ATTACTTATGATTGCAGGTGTTATCCCTGTTTTGGAACGTAAACATTGGATTCTCGTCGAGCTTCAGCTCCCATCCCTTAAGACAATAGTGTATGACAGCATGATAAATTACATATCATTGGCTGATTTAAGAGATGTTATTAAGGGATGGAGCTCTCATTTGGCTAAATTCTTGGATGCGATCAATTATTGGACTCGTTCTGGAAACAAGAAGCCAAAGAAGCTCAATATTACAGTTATTAGAGACGAGACCGCGCCACAACAAACGAGCGGAGCCAGAGGAGATTGTGGTCCTCTCGTATGCTTGGCGTTGGAGCGTTTGACGACGGGAAGCATCAAGTATCTACCTCCACCGATAGAGATAAAGCTGCAGCAGGCTTGTGGTTTCGGCATTATATGGCTAAATCGATATATACGAGACGCTGCCTACCTGCATCCGCGTTATAAAAATGTCCATAAACAATTGGTAAGTTTATATACTTTTGGTTTGAAAATGTTTGGTTAAGTAACTAGAATTCAATAATTTGTAGAAAGTGTTGTCTGAACAAATGTTTGGTTTCTGCAGGTTAATCTCAGAAGTGAACTGCGTGAAAATGATGTCGAGCTGCAAAAGTTGATTCAATAGTTTAATTGATTGTTTTTTATTGTTTAATTGATTTGTAAAAGTTGATTCAATAGTAGATGATCGGAAATAAGAATTATTGCTTATTTTGATTGTTTAATTGATTTGTAAAAGATGATTTGTAAAAGTGATTTGTGTAATTGATGCGAACATAATTCTTATTTGTGCTTGTTTAATTGATTGAAATGTAATGGTTGATTTTGTTGATTTCAATCTGCATTATGTTGAAGGCAAAATGACTATCGCAATGCGAAATGAAAATCGCAACGAGAGAATCGCAATGCGAAATGAAAATCGCAATGCGGAAATGAAATCGCAATGCGTTTATAATTTCGCATTGCGATTATCTCGTTGCGATTTTCATTTCGCATTGCGATTTTCATTTCGCATTGCGATTCTTTCGTTGCGATTTTCATTTCGCATTGCGATTTTCATTTCGCATTGCGATTTCCATTTCGCATTGCGATTTTCATTTCGCATTGCGATTTTCATTTCGCATTACGATTCTCTCGTTGCGATTTTCATTTCGCATTGCGATTTTCATTTCGCATTGCGATTCTCTCGTTGCGATTTTCATTTCCGCATTGCGATTTTCATGTTGGGATTTTCATTTCGCGTTGCGATTGTATTTTCCGTGTTGCGATAGTCAAATGCATGCCTAATAGTGATAACAACTGAATAACAAGAGTTGGTTAAGTCAAAATGGTTGGCCTGAGTCATTAATTCAACTGAAAATGTTAAAAGTTCACACATAAAATCCACATAATACAACGTTTGCATTTAAAAATCACCTAAGTTAACAGTCTCAAAAGGTGAAGCCAATCGTGATTGGGATTTTAAAGATGATTGCCTTTGCTTGACACCATATGAGCTTTGGATTTGATGAGGATCCATATTTTGGTAGAGGAAAAGATGATTTTGATGGCACTGGTGATCCACATGTCAACCTTGTATGACCACTTTCCTTGCACCGACTACATGTCGATCTCTTCTTCTCTTCACCCTTAGACGGTATACGATCGTGACTTTTTGGTCGGCCAGGTAGCCTTCTGTCCATGGCTGGTGGCAAAACTGTTTGTAAGTCATCTGGTATGTCCCACTCAGAAGGATGTGGAATAGGGTAGACAATCTCGGCATAAGTCTGTCGATAACTTCTGTAGTGTAGCAATCCATAGCGTATGCGCTTGAATCATCTTGGTTTAAATGAAGAGCAACTTTATAACATGGCCACACGGATAACCAGATGTTTGCCATTTCATACAACTACACGTCTTTGCATTTAGATCGACTAGCCCATTTAAGTTATTATCCAGTACTTGAAACAAAGTGTTGAACATGGTTCAACTCTCCATGACGTTGACTTCACAACACGTTTCGTTATCTTTTTTTCAGTCCATGGTGTAACACGATGTTCCAATGTTCCTGTAAATTTAAATAAACAATACTTAGTAAAATATATAAATATGATAAGTTACGAATTCAAAGAAATAATACCTGCATGGTTTCTTTTCTTGTAGTACCACTGTTGAATAGAGGCTCGAAAAAACTCCATTAACATAGTAATGGGTAATTTCCGGGAATGACGACTTAGAGCGTTGATTGATTCTGCACTATTAGACGTCATGAAACCATATCTTGCTCCAAGTTGATGTACTCTTGACCATCTTTCAAACCCGACATCTTCTAGTGTTTGAGCACACTGAGGCAAAACACGTCTTAAACAATTTATATGCTTATTGAAATCCACTTCCCGATAAGCTTTTACAGCCTTCCAGTATGTCCATTTGTGCTTTTTTATACCAGCAGACCTTGATTTTAGATTTCTATACAAATGAACACCACAAAGTCCATGAAAAGCATCTGGGAAACACCTTCTAACAGCGTTGTCAATTGAGTTTGCCCTATCGGATATGATTGTCAGATTGCTAATAGGACCTATGCAATCCCTAAGATGCCCCATAAACCATGTCCATGAATCAGAGGTTTCAGATTTGCCAACCCCGTAAGCTATTGGCAATATCCCATTGTTAGCATCCATGGCTACTGCTAATAAGTTTACTCCAAGGTATCGACCTTTCAAATGTGCTCCGTCAACTATAATAACTGGGCGCATGCAAGTAATAACGAACGAATCTACAAAATAATATACACAAGAAATATAATCATTTAAATGTGAAATGCATGTAACTAACAAAAATGAGTCAACAAAATTATATTGATTTACTAACCGTAGCACCAATGGCGATAAACAGCAACTCAAAGCGTCCATCTCTATCTGTTTTGATATGAGTTACCGACCCAGGATTTTTCAGCTTTAAATTGTGACAATAAGCCGGCAGTTGGGCAAACGATGCTTCTGGCGACCCCTCAACAATTCCAAGGCATAACATTTGGCTCTCCAAGCTTGAGAATATGATATACTAATCTTGAACCGAGCATTCATGTCAGTCATAATTTCATGTCCCCGATATACCCTGCCATTCAAAAACATTAACTCAGCCAGAAAACCACCCAACACCTTTTTGTTTGCCTGTCTATGGTGAGGAAAAACGAGGGTTCTTGAACATGTATGTTTATCAATAAAAGTCCTAACTTGAAACATTTTGCAATCTTTTATTCTCTTTGCAATCATACGCCACGTACAGTTTTGTCAATCATACACCTTGTTTCGAAACGATCTTGCTTGATTTGTTAACTTTTAGTTGATAGCCATCTTCCACACATTTGTATACAAAGCTATCTTCAAGTCTTCCTTTGTATCAAAACAATCATCTTTCTTGACACGAATAACTTTTGTGTAACAATCAACTGCTTTCTTTGCCAACTCTTCTTCCGGTAACTGAAGTAATTCTGGCATATTCCAGTTATACTCCCGTGGCATTTTCTTTTCTTCGGGGACTTTTTCTTCTTCTTTTTCTTCTTCAGGATTATATGAATTACAGAATGGATGTTCAACATGTTCATTATCCCATGAACATTATCCCATGACCCTCCAAAACACAAATCTATCCAAACATGATCAGATGATTTCATGGTTGTAAATTAATTTACTAAACAGACGAGCTGCGAAACTAAAACCTGTTGCCGGATTGGGAAGGATGTCGTTGGATATAGGAACGGATGTCGCCGGAGAGAGTGATAGATGGAGATGGAATGAGTTGCGATTTAGGGATTTAGTTTATGATTTCAGTGTTATATACCCAAAATTTCAGTGTTGTGATTTACAGATTCTCGTTGCGATTTACGGATTATCGTTGCGATTTACAGATTCTCGTTGCGATTTACGGATTATCGTTGCGATTTACGGATACGCGTTGCGATTTACGGATTATCGTTGCGATTTACGGATACGCGTTGCGATTTACGGATACGCATTGCGATTTACGGATACGCGTTGCGATTTACGGATACACGTTGCGATTTACGGATACGCGTTGCGATTTTATGTATTATCGTTGCGATTTACGGATACGCGTTGCGATATACGGATACGCATTGCGATTTACCCATACGCGTTGCGATTTACGGATACACGTTGCGATTTACGGATACGCGTTGCGATTTATGTGTTCGCGTTGCGATTTTCATATTCGCGTTGCGATTATTGAAAATCGCAATGCGAATTTGTACTATCGCATCGCGATTTTCAAGAATCGCGTTGCGATTTTGGAAACTGATTTGCGATTCTGGGGATCGCGTTGCGATTTTTATTTCGCGTTGCGATTTTGTTGGTCATTTTGGCAAATCCAAAAAAAGTTGGTTAAAATCGTATATTATAACTTTTTTTTGGTCACTGAGGCGATTTTCTCTATATAAAAGCATAGCCTTTTAGAAAACCCTAGTTTTGCTTGTGATTAGGGATGGTGAAAATATCCGAACATGGCAAGATTCGACCCAACCCAATCCTATTGGAACTGCTTTTTTTAATTTTGAGGCTTAGGGTGGGACGGGACCGGATTTAAGGTGAAAAATCACCAACCCGACCCGATCTGGTTATTATATATATATATATATATATATTATAATTAATATTTTAAGAATTTTTATTTTTATATTGTTAAAATATATTATTTAATTATTAAAAATATAAAAATATAATAAAATATTAATTTAATCATTTAAATATAATAAATAATTATCATATATTACTATAAATATAATATTTTATTATTTTAAAATATTAATATATTCGAATCGGGTCGGGTTTTTTGTCTAAAAATCGGGACAAGTTTGGAGGCAAAAAAAGCATAAAAGTCCTCGGGACAGGGCAGGGTCGAGCTTTACATATATATTTTATGTCAGGGTCGGGTGGCCCGACCCGCCCCTCCCGGTGCCCATCCCTACTTCTGCTTCTTCTTCTCCTCCTCTTCCTCCTCAGAAAACCCAGAAGCAGCAGCCCTTTTTGCTTTCAGGTAAACTCTCGTTTATCCCAAATTTCAAATTGAATTAGCTCCTCCAACTTAATATGTTGTTATAAATTTTGTTCACTTTATTTGTTCAGTTCTTCCAATGAAATCTTATAGAAACTTTTATTTGCTAATTTTAGCTCCTTTTTCTTTTGACATATCTGAATTATCATAGTTTCATTTTTAAATTGTATACTCTTTTTATTTTTTATGTGATTGACATTCTCCGTGTAATACCCCAAAAATTTAGAAAATGACCAAAATGAAAATTTGGAAAGTTTGATGGTCAAAGTAGAAAATTGGGAAAAAGTTTAGGGAAGTAAGTGGTGATTTTACCAAAAATAATGTTATTCCATAAATGGATTTATTTAATGACCAAATTATAAATTTGGTAAAGTTTGGTGAGCAAAGTATAAACTTTGAAAAGTTTATGGACTAAAATATAATTTTAAAAAGTTACATATGGGTCACGAAAATAAGTAAATAAAAATATTATTTTCACATTTTTGAAATGTTGGAAAATAATATTTAATGGTTTAATTCCATGTTTAACTTGAATTGTTTGATTAAAGTGACTGAATTGCAATTTTTGGAAATTGCAAGGGCAAAACGGTAAAGTGGAAGACTAATTTGTTCATCTTTGACTATTATAAGATGATAAGGCTGATATTTCTCTGATTTGGATGGAGATAAGAATAAGTATCTAGGTTCTTTGGTAATTATAAAGTTTCATTAAGGTTAAATTTGTATTTAACCAATTTAATGAATTTAATATTCATTAAATGATTAATTAAAGGATATAAGCATGATATCAATCAAACATATCATGCCAAAGTGTTCATCTTCTCCAGCATCTTCACGTGAGAAAGCTTGAAGGTAAGAAAATATTTTATTTTCAATATTTGAGCTAATTCCTTTGGAATTAGAGTTATGGCGTGAGATAGGAAAGTGATCTAAGCGAAAAACGCTATCATTTGGTACTAATATTACTTTCTAATCTTGTTGGATTTCAAAGATCCCAAATTTAAGGGTTTATGTTCATGATGGGATTCATGAAATTGATGATAAATTTTGATGATTTACATGTTGTAGATTCATATTCAAGTATGTATGATGATTAGAACATGTTTAATCTTTCTAAAACTTGTTCTTTAAGTTTTGGCCATGGATTGTTTGAGTAAGAATAATTATGGAAAAATTATATATAGGTTGGAAATAATTAAGGAAATATTCTACAAGCCTTAGAAAACTTGGGGATAATTTCGTAAGTTTTGAAAAGTTGGAGATCAATTTGTAAATTCTGGAAAATTGATGGGTTGTTGTGTAAGTGATATATAATTGATGTACTATGCTGGAAATTGTTGTTTGGGAATTAAAATCAGTGTTAGAATGTGAAATATGACTATTTTAGAAGTTTGAAAAGATTAGTGATTTAAGTACAACAATTTCATAGTTGGGGTACTTAAATGTAATTATGCTTTTGTAAAAGCATTTGAATGATAGTAATTTCAATACTGGAATTTTGGTATTAAGAATCTAAGTGATAAAATGGTGAAGGACCATTTTGTGTAAATTGTAAAAGTTTGTTCTAATGTTAAAAGGAGTTATTAAGTGTTTAATATTTGGTAGAATGGAGTTGTTATGGGATATGTTTATGTTAGTATAATACTAACATATGTATCATTGTGAATTTGTGATTTACATACAGATCATGATTGATTTGTGATTGAAGCAAGTCTAGTATAAAAAGGGTTTATTGTGGAACATAGTGAGGCACATATTGTGGATTTTATAAAGTGTCAAGGTGAATGCAATACATGCATGAAATTATACATAGATGTTTTATACATCATCATGAAGACTTGCAATAAGTTGACATTGTTTATATCTGTAACACCCCAACCCGTACCCGACCCGGATACAAGTCCGACGTGTCACATTGACTTTTCAAACCTTGACTCTTAAGAAAAAATCCCGGGAAATTTAAAACTTTATTTAAAACAAAATACAGACTTTATCAGAGTGCTCGTACTTAATGACTTATTACATGCCAACACTTTATACATAACCAAATACATACTTTGTCAAATACTTCTGATCTGATCTTTTAGTAGTGATACTGTCTTTGCCACTTCTATTCTTTCACTTCTCGTTTCTTGGTACCTACGTGTAAATCACTTACACGCTAAGTCATAGACTTAGTGAGGCATATAAAACATATAATATAACCATATATCATTTCATATAAATAAAAGACATACATATGCAAACACTATCAATATCCTTTCCACTTACCATATACTCATCATATAACACATATATCACTATACCCAGAAACACACATAACATCATATAATTCATGTATGTGCATTCATATCATTGAATCATGACATATCAATATGCATGAATCTATTGTATGATAACAATATACAATCAGGTCATGCACACATGCAACTTACCTTCTTGTATCACTTTCACTTTCATTTGTCTTTCAATTTCATTGCCCATGTATATTATTGAGAATAGAGGTATGTGAGTACATTGAGGTTGTGCACTAATGCTGTCACCACAGCTCGTATAAATTCCCTCATGGGGCACCGAACATTCGTTCAGTATTCGTCCCGAAGGACCTGTCCAGAGGTTACAAAGAACCCCGGTAACTATCCAGAGGTCATAAAGATCCTCGGCAACTATCCATATGTTCCTTTCAACATAGGTAAACCCTCGACTCTTGGTATACCAACTATACCTATAGCTCTCGTATCATATACTATGGGCATTTATTTATACATTTCGTATCACTTGTTCTTTCTCTTCTGTCACATACCACATGTATGTGTAACCATATATCTCATATCATATCACATGTATTATATATACATGTATTCACGTAAATCATTTCATGTAATTCATATCACATATATCACATGTGCATATAAGCTTATAGCTTCTTTCACATATACATGTAGTCACATAGCTTTCTTTCATATAACCATGCATGTCATATCAAATAACATATATCATATGTTGCATTTTCACTTAAGCATATAAATCATATAACATAGCATCCATCTATTTCTATGTATTAATGCATACATGGTAATCACATAACAATTTAGAAGTTACTTCTTACCATAGTAACTCCATCATTGGCTCATCGCAAGCCAATGTTAATTCAATAAAATAAGTACAAAATAAATTGCACTCACCTTAGCTTTGCTTTGATTCGATTCTAATTCCTCAATTGTCCTGAAACGGATCACGTTCTATCTCTACATAACAATACACAGATTCATATCAATATTCCAATTGATATATTCTAAACTGTCACTTCTTAGGCTAAGAGAAAAGCCAATTTCCTCTTTCAATGAAGGTATGCATCGATGCACTACTTGTGCATCGGTGCATAAAATGCATTCGATGTTATTATTTTAAAAGGATGCATCGATGCATTAGCTATGCATCGATGCATCAAAGGCATTCGATGTTCTTCTTTTAAAGGAATGCATCGATGCACTTATGAATGTGCATCGATGCACCTTGTCCAGAAATTGTATTTCAAGCCCGAAATTCATCAATTCTTCATTCAATTCTTCTATTTTAATCCCCTATCATGTCTTTAAACTCAACTATCATTATTGAAACCAACTTATGTCCATATAAATCATATTTATCTTCCATATTTCATCAAGATTCTTAAAATTAAGAATCTTACTAAACTTTCAAATTTGTTATAAATCTTTTCTAACTTCATAAATCTCTTATTCTTATTGATGACAAGTCAAATTCCATCTTAAAAATCTCTTATTAACTCTTTTCCAGAATTTCCTTTAAAAACTCATTTTCTTTAATCTTTCATAACTTCTTTATCTTTCAATCTTAAGATAACTTAAGCTTTCCTTAAGCTTAGTTATTATCTAATGATCAAAACCCAACCATAAATTTAGCAAATAACCAACTAACAAAGAAACTCACCTTTGCAAGCTTGGCTCTTCACGTTTGAGAGAAGATGAAGATGAAGAAGATAAGTCTAAAACTTATCTCTTCAATCTTACATCTCATGTATTATAATACCCATTTATTAATATTTAATATTATCTTTGTTCAATGACCATTTTTCCCTTCATCTACTTTAATAATTACTAACAACTTTTAGGAATTATTTCCAAATAAATCATTGAATTATTCCATTCTTCTACTTAATTCATCAAATTCTTAAACTTTACAATTTAGTCACTAACCCCTAGTTTGGGATGTTACAATTCTCCCCTCCTTAAGAAAATTCGTCCTCGAATTTTCACTTTATAACAATATGAAGCAATCCTTATATACAGTCCTCTTTTATTACTCAATACATATCTCTTTCACTCATGCTATAAACAATCTAACACAAATTATAACACTTATCTTACTTGATTCTTTAAACTCTATCATTCTCATTTCTTTCTCTATTTATTCCTCATTATCAAGATTTCCTTATAGCATAACTAAACCATATATTTTCTCATGTTCTCATACGCTATTTAATCCACTCAAGTAACCACAAATCTTATTTACCTGAACACTATACCTTAATGGGTTTATATCAATAAAACTACTACAATTAACTTATAACTAAAATTAGTACTTCTCTCATCAATTTATTGTTCAAATGTAATTATGCTAGCCTAAATCAACCAATATCATAACGCATTTACTATACAACCGAAAGATACCTGCTAATAATTCTGGGTCCTCACAATCTTCATTAGTATTAAGATTATATATTCTAGCAGTGGAGCACATCTCCTGTTGAGTAGAAGATTCTGTTTGATTTCTTTCTCTACCTCTACCTCTACCTCTTTGAGACATCAAAACAGATCGTTCTGATTGTGCAAGCTCTCTGTCCTTCAATGGACAATCTCTCATGAAATGTCCTATTTCCCCACATCGGAAACAAGCTCCAGATTTAATTCTACACATCCCACCATGATATCTTCCACAATTCTGACAATGTCTCAATTGTG